AGCGATATCGGAGCCGGCTCCCGTGGTCAGCGAGATCGGAGGGAGCTCCCGTGGCTGGCAAGATTGGAGCCGGCTCCCGTGGCCGGCAAGTTTGGGGCCGGCTCCCGTGGCCGGCGAGATCGAAGCCGGCTCCCGTAGCCAGCGAGACCGGAGTCGGCTCCCGTGGCCAGCGAGATCGGAGCCGGCTCCCGTGGCCAGCGAGTTCGGAGCCGGCTCCCGCGGCCGACGAGATCGGAGCCGGTTCCCGTGGCCAGTGAGATCGGAGCCGACTCCCGATCGCCGCCCTTGGCCAATAGCCAGCGGGGCATAGGAGGAGCATGACGTAACAGCCACCTGGAGGGGAACCGGCTCCAGACGGTGGCGCGGGGAGGGGTCGGCTCCCGCGGGCCTTCCAGCGGGAGCCGACCTGAGGTCACCTGCAGCAGTCTGCCCTGCGGCCGCACCGCTGCGCTCCGCTGCCCGCCATTATGCAACGGACGCTGCGGCCGGCGGACGGCGAAAGTGTGCGCCGCACGCCGCGAGATCGCCGCGATATCTGGCGACCGCGGGCCGGCTCGGTGGCCGTCGGTTCCGGCGGCTGAGCGGCCGCCTCCGCCGGCAAGAAAGCGGTGGGAGGGGTGGGATTGTCCAGCGGTGGGTGCCTAATCGCCGACAGGCTCTCAGGGATAAGGAAACTGCAGCGCCGCATGTGTGTGCAGCACCGGAGACGGCGGCGGCGCGGCGGCCATCGCCACCAGGAGGCGTGGCCAGTTTCGCCGCGGGATCTCAGATGGTGCCGCCTGTAATGACTGTTTTAATGTTTAATGCTATTTTTAGTACACAGTAGCTGTTTTAACTTGCTTATGTTGGTTTTTACTGAAGGTGAGAACCAAACATCGCGCCGATTTACATCAAGTTCTGGTGGCGATTTAGTGTTTAAGGGCGCGTCGGTATCGGGGCCATTTTGCGCCCACTCGATGACGGTTGATTTACATCAAGATGTCGGCCGCAATGTGCAACCAGTGGTAAATCCTAACCAACGCCTTTATCCCAGGGAGAGTTTCACGCTACGACGTGATCTTCACGTCAGCCTCGAAATCGAATGAAATGTAGCAGGCTACAACGCATTGTTATACGATATGCTGCTGCATTTCAGTCAGTTCAGACCGGATAGGATGAGAAGCCTCAGTGATACCGATCGGTGAGCTACAGGCATCAGGCATCAAACATATGTCTAAATATCTGGAACAGGGGTGGAGTATCGCAAAGTTATTGGGCGCTGAGCGGAGAAAATGGTCACACATGCTCCTAAAATAGGTAAAAATGGCTTTATTCCGGCGTTGACCCAACTTCCTCTCCAAGTTGGGAAGTTGCCGCAAAATCTCACTACCCGCCCAGCCGAGTACACTCTTTGTATCAATAAAATGAACCCTTTTTTTACATGAAAGCAATTAATCTTGACAGGAACTTGGACATCACAACTTTCACACCGTGGTGTAGCACACGATATGTTCACAAGCCGTTGACACAGTCAATGTTCGCGGAATCGAGCCAATGCGGGGCCAGATCACCTGCCCGCGCGAGCGATAGTTTCACCGCTGAGCCTGTGCCTTGTCCGCTGTCCTGTTTAAGACCTGGCGGTTTCGAATAGCCTGCAGACGACGCAGCCAATCCTTCAGTAATCGCCAGGTGTAATCCCTTGCTGGCGATCTGATCGTGTAGCTGTTAAAATAATCGTGGCAGCTGGTCACGCTGGTTGTCGCAACGAGGTCAGTGAAACAAGAAGTGTGCAGAGTTCGACTCGGGCTCATAATGACGAGTTAAGTGGCGCGGAATAACGCCATTTGCGCTTCTCATGTCCTCGGACAATGATGGCGTGATACGCCCCGGTCTGGTCAAACACAAGCGCAAGTCAACCGTGTCGAGCCCGCGGTACAACCGGCGTGCAGATAAACCGGCCCCGGGGATCTGATATCAGAAAGGTCGGCTGGAACTGGAAGGCTCTGTCAGACAGCAGGTCATGTAGTTCCCTGACCGTCTTGTCGCCTCCCTGACCACTCGGCCTGATCCCGCTCGATGCGAGCCCCGCCGTAGTTGACTGCTCGTCCTCTTCCCAGCGGTGCCCGGGGAGGCCCGGTCAGCGGCCCTGCAGTGGCCCGGTCAGCGGCCCTACAGTGACTCCTGAGGGCGGTGACGCAAGAGGCGAGTGACGTCTGAAGGCAGCTGCGTCCGTTAAACTGCCGCGTGAGCACTCGAAATGGCCTCCGGAATCTCCAATTTCAACATCAAGAAGTCCTTCGTGTGGAAGTATGGGCTGTGGAAGCTTCACAAGAAAAAGGTAGGATGATGGGCCAGGGAACTGCGCGCGAGGGTCGGTGCCGTTCTCGCCAAACACACCTGGTCATGAGTTGTCTTGGGGAGGTTGGTTAATTACGCACGCATCCTTACAATGCTACCCGGAATTTCTCGTCACTAGGGGTCGTAATGAATTTTGTTTACCACCGCGTCATCCTAGTGGCCTTGGCAACCGCCCATTAGCTGCTTTCACTGTGAGAATGTGACGTTCTCTTGTCAACCCTCGTTACAAATGGTTCATATTCCCTCCATCGGTGGCAACAAACGTGCCAGTTTTAAATGAGCTCCCTTGTATGCAAGTAAAAGCAACTGTCACGACGACGTCCCACAAATTTCACTGGCAATCGGAGGAGGAAACATCAGGTTTGTTTAAAGCCCACATACCAGCCCAGGAAAAATCCGGGTTATGTTACGCGCATGCGTCACCCATCGCCGGAAGCTTCGCTTTCTGCCAATGGCGTGCGAGGTTTGATCATACCGTAGGCTCGCTCGAGCTTATCAGCAGCATACAACTGATAACCACATTACATGTCACGTGCACCGTGAATTTGGTGTGCACATTCGAGGTTGGGGGATTACCGGCCGAGGCACGGGACGTCTCAGCAGTGGCGGCCCGTTGGGAAATTCAAGCGGGGCAGCTTTCTCCAGTCCAGAACGGAAATGGCAGTGGACTTATGCCGTTGCCCCCCCCCCCCCAAAAAAAAACAGTCCAAATCGCATCCACTTCCCGAACTTCTATCCATCGTCTCAGGGATACGTCGCCGCAGGACACCGGAACCCCGCCACGGCGCCCCTCCCATGTTTGACCATGGGAGCGGCGTTTCAACATGGTGCTCGCCGGCAACCTTGACGCCAGCCCACATGTTTGCGTACGTGTCGCGCGCGGTCCACCCCGGCTCCGACTGCCCCGCGCGGCCGCAGCCCTCCCCCCCTTCCCCCCTCCCCCCGCCGCTTCCCGGCATCTCGCCAGGCGACCCGCCAGCCGGAAACAAACGGCCGCACCCGCAGCAAAAAGGCGGCAGCTCGGCGCTGAGCGCCGGAGCTGCGGCGAGCGGCGGCCGTGTCGGGTTCCGCGGGTGAAGCCGTGGGAGTGAGCTCGGGCGGCACCGGGACGGGCCGCTTTCTCGCCTGGTCCCTCTCACGGGCGGGGTCTCCCGGCACCGCGGGCGGGCCGGCGTCACGGCGGCCAGCCTGCAGTTCGGGACTGGCGTGGTTGGTGAGTGGTCAGGTCTGCTCGAGCTCAGCCATGCTGACGCTCAGTGAGGACGCGTGGCGACTTACGTCAGCGTCAAACAGCCGGTGTCGAAGGACTTGCAAAGGCTACATCCGTCAAAAACGCCCAAATAAGAACAAGGTTCAGCGTGTGCTGTTGAAGTGGTTGGCTTTTACCTCGAACTTCACATGCGGGAAGTTTGAGGATCCCGTTGCCCTGCGCTCACTACCTCAGGCCGTAGTTGGCGATCTTTCCTGTTCATCATTACGCCCCTTCAGCCGATGGTTCCTGTGGCCAGCGTCGCTGAGCCGTTGCCGACCGGTGAACCTCGCCGCCCATTTCAGAGCGGCGACGAGAGCGACAGCGGTCCGACGGCCGACGACTCCGAGTCGGACAGCTGTCTGGGAGCCGGACCTGGCGCTGCAAGCCGCACGGTGGGAGCCGCTGGTGGCCGGACGACGCCGCCTGGCGGCCGGCCCGGCCTCACCCAGCCTCTCCCGGCCAAGCGGCGCTCCGGCCGGCTCGCCGTGCGCCACGCCAGCCGGCCCGGGTACGACGTGGCCGGGCGGCCCGCGCGCGGCCGTCGCCCCCGCGGCGAGCACCCATCTACGAGACCGCTGAGTGAGTACGGCGCGCCGGCGCGCCGCCGACGACCAGCACACGTGTACGAGAACGACGAGACGGACGACGAGCTGGAGGCGCCGCTCTACGGATACGGGCCGCTGCAGCCATCTACGCCAACGGCGACGCGCCGGAGGAGGCGCCCATCTACGAGAACCTGGCGGCCGAGGAGGGCACTGGGAGCGGGCGGTGGAGGCGAAGGAGAGGTGGTTGTCTACGATAGCCTGCGGGTGGACGTGCGCTCCGACCTCGGCTACGACTCGGACACAGTCGACCTCGTCCGGCTCATCCGGCTCGGCATCGAAAGGCAGCGCCAGCTCGAGGAGGACGGCGGTGACGGCAGCGACGGGTCGGAGATGGAGGCGCCGGCGGCGAGGCGAGAGGCAGAGCCGGCCGTGCCCCGTGCCGGACTCATCTCAGCTGAGTCGCTTGTCAGCGCCAAGCTGGGGCTGAAGCGGGCCGCGGAGCGCCGGCTGCGAGACCCTCGGCGTGCGGAAGACGAAGGGGGAGAAGGTGACGGTCGGCCTGAGCCGGCGGAAGCCGGAGGACGACCACAGGGCGTTGGACGAAGTTAGATGAAGTCGGAGAATGGTCGATGCAGCTCGAGCGTTGCTAGACCGAGGTCAGACCAAACAGGCCTGACGTCCGGGCAGACGCCACGCAAGCGTGGAATGGCGCTCCAGACGCAGCAGGCTCGTCCCTGGCCCCGCTGCAGGCCAGGCTAGACAGCACGCCGACATTAGAGTCCGTCAGCCGCCCAACACAAAACCCCAGCTTCCTGCAACACCGGCCGGAGGCTCGGCAAGCCGGAAGACAACGCCCCGCTTTTCAGATGGCAAGGAAGGCCATCGCCCAGTCGCTCCACATCGGCAAGGCCTCAGAAGCCGGCGGCGGGTGCCACGCCCCGACTCTCGGCGGCCCTCCGAGCCTGACCGGCAGCGCCCTCCCGGACCTGACCGCGCCGATGGAGCGGGTGCCGGTGACCCCCGGCCTGATCCCCGCCGCCACCAGCCCCCTGCCGGACCTGACCGCGCCAGTGGAGCGGGTGTCGGTGACCCCCGGCCTGATCCCGCCGCCGCCGCCCCTGCCGGACCTGACCGCGCCAGTGGAGCGGGTGCCGGTGACCCCCGGCCTGATCCCGCCGCCGCCGCCCCTGCCGGACCTGACCGCGCCGGTGGAGCGGGTGCCGATGACACCTGGCGTGATCCCGCCGCCACCGCCGATGCCCGGTCAGAACTGTCCGGAACCGCGGGGCAATGGCCCCAGCCGAGGGCAGGTCACCGGCCTCCCAGGAGCCAGCAAACCGGCTTCAAGAAGAAGCTGGAGTCTAAGAAGAGCAGCGCTCCCGTGGAGAAGGCTGCGGCGAGGAAGAAACGCATGGCTCCGAAGCCGCCTGACAGATCACTGTCACTGCCAGGATTTGGCACCTCTAAATTTGATATCGTGAAGGCCTTCGAAGAGTTCAAGCGGAAGGAGAAGAAAAAAGAAGACAAATATCTCGCAAAGAAATCTAAAGATAAATGTTTAGATGATCTTGATCTAAGTTTACCGCATAACATTGCATCTAAGGCGCCAAAAGTAAATAAGGGAGTGGTGACATCAAAGTCAACAAATTCTTCAGGGACTGCAGTGACGCAACATACAGAGAATGGCGCCTGTTCCGACATCACTGCGGTAGAAGAGGTCGACTGTGCTAGCGAAGGCGCTGGTCGCACGAAAACACCTGCGTCGCTAACCTTAAAACAATCAGCGTTGTCTGAAGCATTCACACCATCGGGGCGAACAAAGCTCAATACTAAGCCTGTCAAACTGGGAAGATTTTCGTCAAAAGCAAAAAGCAAGCCGATGAGTGGATCATATCCGCAGAAACGCCCGGAACACGACTACACAGCGGACGCAAAGGCATGTTACGAGAGCGTCAGGGACTCTTCCGAGATCACCGTTGTGGAGCACATTGAGCCGATACGTACTATTGCCAAGGCCCCAGAAGCCGCCGCCGCTATCGGCCACAGAACAAACCCCGCCGACTTCAGCACGTCCCCTGCCGCCAGTGACGTGTGTGACGTCACCATCACCGACTGCCGCCTGTCCGCCGCCGGCCGCACTTCTCCCCGTGTCGACTCAGGACTGCCCGCCGCCGACGGCAGCACCTCCGCTGCCGACTGCCGGGTGACGGTCGGCGGTCCGCAGGTGATCCACATCTGTCCGGAGGACGCGTCCCCCGCCGCCGAGCGGGCGGCCCGGGGCCGGCCGACGTCGCCGGGCCAGCCGCTGTCGCTGATCGTGACGGCCGAGCCCGGCGGCCGCAGCACTGTGCCCCCGCACAGCGCCGACCGCGTGGCGCTGCAGGTGCCGCACGCCCGCTCCGGCGGCCTCTACTACGCCCTCGGTGGTGGCCGTAGACGCGCCCGGCGTCGCGCCCGGCGTCGGCGGGCCGACGACGCCGACGCCCGCCGATGCCGCCGACGCGACGCCGTCGGCGACGCAGGCGTGGTCGGCGAGCGGGCGGCGCGGCGGCGGAGCGGAGGCCGTCGTCATCTCGGTGTCGGAGGTGGAGCGCCAGTTTGAGCTGCTGGAGCGCGACCAGTGGGGCGACGACGCTGACGGCGAGGTGGGGTCGCACCGCCGCGGCTCGCTGGAGGAGGTGGTGCTGCGGCGGCCCGCCAGGGGGCCGCGCTGGCGCCACACCACCCCGCCGGCGTCTCTGACGAGTGAGTACCCGTCCCGGCGCCACGGGCTCCGCGCGCGTGTCAGGGTCTCTGCTCGCATGACGTCCACAAGGGCAGAAACCACAGTCTCGGAATGACAGTGTTGCGGCATGTGTCAGCTATGTGTTTTTTGTCGACCAGCGAGACGTGCACGTGAGTTAGCTGAGCCGTGCACTGTCGGCTAGCATCGCCGGTGCGTGCTGGCCCCGCACGGTCCGTCGGGCCGCTGACGAGGGCTGTGGCCTTGCGAGGCGGGCGCTCGTGCGCTTCGCTACGGTGCTCCACGGCGGGGGTACAGTTTCCTATTCAGCTGAGATGTCGAGGTGTACCGGTGTCGAAATGGCGCTGCTGTAACCACCGCACCCCGTTCAAGTGCGCTGGTGAGGGAAGACAGAAAAGTGAAGTCATAAAGCAAACATCGGTTATATTAAAAATACCCGACGTCGGCTATTAGGATGTGAGAATTCTCATGATACATGATCTTTGACACATTTTTATGACAGCGTGTGGGTGGCCCCTGCTGCGGCGTCTGGTCGGGTGTGGTCTGGTCGGGTGTGGCCTGGTCGGGTGTGGCCTGCTCGAGTCTGGTCTATCACCACCGCCGCGCGCTGTGCTGCCGGCACGCCACATCTTACCAGTCGGGGAGGCGAACCTTGGTGACCCTCACCCAGTGTCGAAACGACCCTGCCGCACCCACCACACCCGAACGCGGCGCGCCGGGTCGCCGCCCCCAGACCGAGACGACGCCGTTTCCAGTTTCTCTCCGTCGAGTGTTTCGCGCCGGGCCGCCACTGCGCCGGAAAGGTCACGACCTAGGTCGCCGGTGCCATCCAGAGGTCGCAGTGGCGCGGGGTTCACGGCAAACTGTGGCGCAATACGGGCGGGATGAAACGCCGGTTGCAGCTCATGTCATGACAGCACGCTGTGCTTGAGACTGTTCTCACTGTTAGCAGCAGGGGCCGCGTAACAATGACTAACATTCTCAGTTTCGGTGCTCAGTTTCCCACTCAGTTTCGCTCGTTCACGTGTATGGGAATTGTTGCTTCTTGTGCATCAGAATCCGTGTCACGGGAGAGAGGTTAGGGAGGATCGATCCACCACGCCGCGCACTCAACAGTCCTTTGGTCTTCAAGAGTCCTGCCCCGCTGCCAGCTGCCGTCGCATGTTCATACAGTGCAGGAGGACCAACTGTCCTAGGGCTAACGCTGAAGCCAGCTGAAGCTGACTGCTAGCTTCCGTCCGATTCGCTCGAGTAGTCAGCTGTCGACGAGTGTGGCCTGTTCATCTCATGACGTCTGAAGCTGAAGCCAGCTGAAGCTGACTACCAGCTTCCGTCCGATTCGCTCGAGGAATCAGCTGTCGACGGGTGCGGCCTGTTCACCTCATGACAGGGCACGGGTCTGGCGCTGCCACGCTGGGTGGGTGTGGCCTTGGTGACAGCCGCAGCGGCAAGGGGCCTGCGAAACTAGCGCAAGACGCTCCCACCTCGGGGTGTAGCTGGCTAACAACCTAATTCAAAGCGGTCCAGTCATCAACCTGGAGTAGGAAATGGTCACAGCTTGAGATGAGCTGCAGCCGACTGTGGCTGATCAGCTGCATGCGTGTTGTGAAATATGCGATATCCCAGCCGCCATTTGTATTCTCGTTGGTCGCAGTGGCTGTCACGTCGCCTGCAGAGGGTCGTGACGTGCTGATTTTATCACCACAGCCGCCTGCGTCTCATGCATCACAAACAAAAGCCGTCCTGGCTTTAAAAGATCTGCGTTTTTCCCGCGCCTTCTGTCCTTGCTTTGCTGGTGACGGTAAGTCACGGCCGCTGCTGAGCCAAGGCGTTTACACTGGCCATTGAGCGAGTCTGCAGCAATTCGATCCAAATCACAATAGGTTGGTCAGAAGTTGGCATTCTTTAAAGGAAATTGTGACTACGCGTCTGATTGGCTAACACAATTTTCTCCCAGTAATGAAACGTCCGCCCAAATTCGTACGAGCCCGCTCAAGTTTCCGTCCACGCGCAGAGCGTCGACGTTTTAAGCTAATCAAATCCCAGCGGCCGCCAAAAGACAGCAGTCCGGTCAGGCGGCGGCCCGACCTCCAGGCGGCACACCCCGGGGCCTCAGGAGCGGCGCCCGGGTTTTAGAGGCAGTGTTCGGGTCGGCTGCGTACGCGCGCGTGCACGCCAGTGGACCGCTGTCACGCCACACGGTGGGACGACGCGGGTCCCGGCCGGCAGCGCGAGCTAGTGACGTCTGTAGCTGTACACCGCGCCAGCGCTCAGGCACCCCCGTGGCGCAGGGGATGGGTGGACATGTGATGCCTCCCCCCCCCCCCCCCCGGGAACAGGCATCAAGGTTGATGGGCGTCAGAGTATGGCGTATGTAGCCCAAGCTGCCACTTTATGGGGTGTATGAAGATCAGGTTACATGGGTGATGGTCCGCCGGAAAGGGAGGGGGAGTCTGTGGTGTCTGACGGTTGGTTATCTGGGGTTGGGTCACAACCCCGACATCAGCCGGTCCAGTCCTCCCCCCCCCCCTTGCTGTTGTACCGAGCCTGGGTAGCATCATTAAGGTTCTGATCATGAGTCTACATGACCCAATCGTGTCCGCATGGTGTCTTCAATCGCCTGATGTGCGCGGCATGACCCAGTTTTCAATCGTTGCTCAACAAAACAGCTGGCACTCCCATAAGCGCCGGTTGCCATAGCAAAAGTTATAACCGATTGCTTCCCAGCCGCTGAGCGGTTGAGAATATTTGCCGGCAGATGGTGTTGTGTTCCCACCATCATTTACCTCGGTCATGCGTCCGTCGGCTACATTGCGTAGTGTGGCCTCAATTTAACGCCATTAAACTTATTTGCGAAAACTCATAAAATGACGTGGCTGTGACCCGGTCTGTTGACGGCACCCTTCGCTGCCTGCTAGCATAACAGGGCCAGGTCAATCAAGCTGAGTGCTGGCGATATATTTCACCCTTATGCATAGGTGCTTCGAATGTTAAAAGAATCTTCTCTCGTTGTCTTTCCGAAAACGAACTCTCTCATCGTGGCTTGCGAGTCTCCTCATAATGCAGACGTTGTATTGCAACCCTCCACTGTACTGACCTGAGGTCTGACCTTCAATCGTCGCCGCTCTTGTCACTGCTGAGCAGCGGGGGTCCGCGCCAATGGAGTGGCGTGTTATCTGTCACCGAGGGCTGCCAGAATCCGATCCGAGATAACCTGGTGCAGCGCCCCCTCTTGAAGTATCATTCTCTCTTGCAGTTCAAGGCCCCGGCACGTAAGACGGCCACTCTAGTAGCAAGACGCTCACCAAATGGACAGCGATGCAAAGCAACTGTTTTGAAATTGACTGCATGCTTTATGTTTTGCATGGTACACGGGAAGGAGACACCGTTACGCATTTGGACCGTCTGCAGCGATGCCGGAATGACAAATACGTTATGGAGAGGGGATGACCTAGCTTGACAATACTGCAGCGGTTTCTAGCTGAACTTACAATGTTGCAGCGGTCGTCTCCTGTGTAGAGATGCATAAATTGCCGGAGCAGGTGGTTTTGTATTCAACACCCCTGTGATTGAGAGCAACAGCGCAACGTAGCATTGTGTATCAAATCAGGCGAATCAGCTCTCATTGTGATGACGGCGCTGGAGGTCCACGACACGCAATATGTTTCCGCTGCAAACACCCTAGTCGTTCAGTTCAACAACCTGCCACTCTTACGCGGAGTAGGGTACTCATTCGGGCCATCCAGGCCAGTATAGTAGGGTGCTTACTAAGCTGCGGCCTTCCAAAACTGCTTTAGGATTTGTATAGTGACATAAAATTTACAAGAATGCTCTGACTGACGCCCATGGCCGAGGCCTAAAAAGAACGCTCTTAGCACTGAGGACACAAAGCCACCTACCTACCTGCCTGGTACCATTAGACGTGTTCCTTGAACGCTGTACACCCGACGCCACCTATTTAACTCTATTTCACATGGCTGCCACCAGGTGTCGTTGGTAGCGATAAACCGTTACGCGTGTGGTCAAATGTCTGCGGTTTCGTTCCGCGTGCAGTGCTACAAAAAGGACAGTGACTGCTTGCACTTAAGGGCGCTTCCAACGAGTCTCCTTTTCTTGGACGCGTGGGTTTCGTCGCAGGTTTTGTAATTAATGGTCTCCACGCTTTCATAGGGCCTGACTGGCCCTTTGAAATGTTCCCTTTGAGTGATAGAAGCACTGGACCACGCAGAAGCTTCAGAAAAAAAGAGGTGCAATTGTTTTGAACAAAAAGGTCGTGGATGGAGAAATTTCATGTCATCTCTTTGCCTTTTGGTCACTTGGCCGCCGCTACCCAAGTGGCCGGTGCCACCGCAGTAGTTTCATTGTTTGCGTCTCGGGCAACAAAACAAAACCTTGACCATGTCACGCTGAACAGTTGAATAACAGCAGCGACACGGGTGAGAGCGAACCACTTTCTCCCAGGCCCGACCCTCAGAGGCGCAGCATCCAGTGCATACAGACCAAGCGTGTCTTGGAATGAACGGAACGGACACAACTTCATTCACAACTTCAAAAATATTTTGAGAACCCTCACTAATGCCGCGTTCAAAGTCCATTTGTAAAGATAACAGGCTGTTTGCTTGCTCATGGCGTGTTCACTGGTTTTTCTCTCTCGGCCGTACTGCTGTGCTGTTGCTGTGGTATTGGTGT